AGAGTGGTGGCTTATTTCATGGTTTTTGTATTTGTGTCTAATGCACGTTTTAACACAATAGACACAATGCATTGTGTAGGTACAGTTTTCTGGAAAAGTTGATCTTTTAGGAATTGTTTTTCAGATCTTCAATAAAGTTTTTCTTTAAATTTCAAAAAAAAAAAAGCATTTGGGGAGTGAACTAGCAGAAAGAGGCCTGATATGTGTGTGTATGTGTGTGTGTGTATGCACACACCTCTCAAAGAATTAATTTTTATTTTTAAAAAATATTTATTTATTTATTTATTTAAAAGGCAGAGTCACAGAGAAGCAGAGAGAGAGGTCTTTCATCTGCTGGTTCACTCTCCAGTTGTCTGCAACAGCTGGAGCTGGACCGATCTGACGCCAGGAGCTGGGAACTTCTTATGGGTCTCCCATGTGGGTGCAGGGGCCCAAGGACTTGGGCCATTTTCCATTGCTTTTCCAGGCCATAGCAGAGACCTGGATGAGAAGTGGAGCAGCTGGGATTCAGACCAGCGCCCATATGGGATGCCGGCGTTTCAGGCCAGGGCGTTAACCCACTGTGCCACAGTGCCTGCCCCCCATTAATTAATTTTAAAAAGAAGAGTGTGTCCCACTGTTGTTGCATGGAGTGTTCTATGTCTGTTAGATCTGCTTGGTTTACAATGCTGTTCCGGTCTCCCACTTCCTTGTTGATCTTCTAATTGTTTTATCTATTAATGAAAGTGAGGTATTAAAATTTCCAACCAGGGGCCAGCGTGTGTAGCAGGTAAAGCTGCTGTCTGCAGCACCAGCATCCCTCTGGGTGCCAGTTCAAATCCTGGCTTCTCCACTTCCAAACCAGCACTCCACTAATGCACCTGGGAAAAGCAGAAGATGGCTGAAGCACTTAGGCACCCGCATCCACCTGGTAGACCTGGTGAAGCTCCTGGCTCCTGGCTTTGTCCTGGCCTAACCCTGACCATTGTGGCCATTTAGGAAGTGAACCAGTGGATGGAAGGCCTCTCTTTCTGTCCCTCCCTCTCTGTCTCTGTAACTCTGCCTTTCAAATAAACAAAAGATTTATTTTATTTTATTTTATTTTATTTTATTTTATTTTATTTTATTTATTTGAAATACAGAGTTACAGAGAGAGTAGAGACAGAGAGAGAGGTCTTCCACCCGCTGGTTCACTCCCCATATGGCCGCAATGGCTGGAGCTGCACCAATCCAAAGCTAGGAGCCAGGAGCTTCTTCCAGGTCTCCCACGTGGGGCCCAAGGACTTGGGCCATCTTCTAATGCTTTCCCAGGCCATAGCCAAGAGCCAGATTGGAAGAGGAGCAGCCGGGACTAGAACTGGTGCCCATATGGGATGCCGGCACTTCAGGCCAGGGCTTTAATCCACTGTGCCACAACACTGGCCCCAATAAATCTTATTTTTATAAAAATAATAGTCTCCAACTGCTATTGTTTTTCTTTATTTCTTTTCATTTTATTTGAAAGACAGATGGAGAGAAATCTTCCATCCTCTGGTGCACTCCCCAAATACCCACAATAACTAGAGCTGGGCCACTATCTGGATCTCCCACATAGGTGAAAAAGCCCAAGTACTTGAGTCATCACCTGCTGCCTCCCAGAGTATACATTAGCAGGAAGTTGAATCAAAAGCAGAGTACCAGGATTGAATTAGACATTCCAATATTTGTGGTGGAGATCCCAAGAAATTACTCACCTGCAGCACCACATACCTGCCCCCCAACTATTATTATTTAATTGTCTATTTCAACCTCCAGTTCTGTTTTTGCTTCATGCATTTTGGGGGTCTGATATTAGGTGTATATGTGTTACATTTATATCTTTTTAATATCTTGACTTTCTACAATACCACAACATAACTCAAACACAACTATGCAGAATTAACTCAGACTCCACAGTTATAAAGGCATAGTCCCCTGCAAGACTACTGTTTTGTAAGATAATGGCCATAAGTTGAGGGATCACAGGTCACAGGTCACTCATACTCCTCACAAGCAGGTTTATTTTAAAGATTTATTTATTTATTTGAAGTGTGTATGGGGAGAGAGAGAGAAAGAGAGAGAGAGACCTTCCATTCACTGATTCACTTCCCAAATGGCCACAATGGCCAGGGTAGATCCAGGCCAAAGACAGGAGTGCAAAGCTCCATCTAGGTCTCCTACATGGGTAGCAGGGGCCCAAGTATTTGGAACATCAAATTTTATGTCACTAACGTGCAATAACCTGATATTATGTGTGGCAATGTGCTAGTAAATGTTGAACAGACTCTCGAAAATTAAGAAGCAGAATGAAGAAGGATTGAATTTGTAACATGTGCCAATTATCCACGGTATTAATACTTCCTTCATTGCTGATATCAAGCTAACAATATGGCATCATTATTCTCAGAGTCAGGAAGAGAAGTTAACAATCAGCTTGAGGCTGGAGCTGTGGCGTAGTAGGTAAAGCCACCACAGCTTGCAGTGCCGGCACCCCTTTTGGGTGCCAGTTCGAGTCCCAACTGCTCCACTTCTGATCCAGCTCTCTGCTATGGCCTGGGAAAGCAGTAGAGGATGGCCCAAGTCCTTGGGCCCCTGCACCTGCGTGGGAGACCCAGAAGAAGCTCCTGGTTCTTGGCTTCAGATGGTGCAGCTCTGGTCGTTGCAGCCATCTGGAGAGTGAACCAGCAGATGGAAGACTTTCTCCTTCCCTCTCACTCTCTCCCTCTCTCTCTCTGTCTCTGTCTCTCTCTGTGTCCTCTCTCCTCCCTCTCTCTCTCTCTCTCTCTGTCTTTGTCTTTTTGTAACTCTGCCTTTCAAATAAATAAATCTTTTTTTTTTTTTTTTTGACAGGCAGAGTGGACAGTGAGAGAGAGAGACAGAGAGAGAAAGATCTTCCTTTGCCGATGGTTCACCCTCCAATGGCCGCCGCTGCAGCCGGCGCACCGCGCTGATCCTGGCAGGAGCCAGGAGCCAGGTGCTTTTCCTGGTCTCCCATGGGGTGCAGGGCCCAAGCACCTGGGCCATCCTCCACTGCACTCCCTGGCCATAGCAGAGAGCTGGCCTGGAAGAGGGGCAACCGGGACAGAATCCGGCGCCCCAACCGGGACTAGAACCCGGTGTGCCGGCGCCGCAAGGTGGAGGATTAGCCTATTGAGCCACGGCGCCGGCTCAAATAAATAAATCTTTAAAAAAAGATTTTTTAATCTGAATGTAATCATAAGGAAACAGAAATACAAAATATGTTACATTCAACAAGAAAAGTAGCCTGGACTCTACAGAAAGTTCAATGTCATGAAAAATAGTAACATAAATAGGGCAAATGTGTCCTTTCTAGATTAAAAGAGAAGTAAGCAACCAAATACAATACATGCACATTGATTGACTTCTAGATCAATACTAAAAGCAAGGCTGGCATAGTGGCACATCCAGTTTTGGAGTACCTGAGCTTGAGCCCCAACTCTACTTCCTTTTTTTTTAAGATTTATTTTATGTATTTGAAATATAGAGTTACAGAGAGAGAGAGAGAGAGAGAGAGAGAGGTCTTCCATCCGCTGGTTCACTCCCCAAATGGCCACAACGGCCGGAGCTGCACCAATCTGAAGCCAGGAGCCAGGAGCTTCTTCCAGGTCTCCAATACAGGTGCAGGGGCCCAGGGACTTGGGCCATCTTCTACTGCTATCCCAGGCCATAGCAGAGAGCTGGATCAGAAGAGGAGCAGCCGGGACTAGAACCGGTGCCCATTTAGGATGCCGGCGCTTCAGGCCAGGGCGTTAACCTGCTGCGCCACAGCGCCGTCCCCCCAACTCTACTTCCAATCTAGCTTCTTGTTAATGCACATCATGGGAGGCAGCATGTGATGGCTCAAAGATTTGAGTTCCTGCCACCCACATGGGAGATCCAGATGAGGTTCCAAGCTCTTCTGTCTTCAGCCTGGACTAGCCCCAGCTATTGTGGGCATTTGAGGAGTGAACCAGCAGGTGAAAGCTCTCTCTCTCTCTCTTTCCCCCTCCCTTCCCCCTTCCCCCTTCCCCATCTCTCTCTCTCTCTCTCTCTCTCTCTCTCTCTCTTTTGCTATGCCGTTCAAATAAACAAAGATTTTTTTAAAAACTAGAAAACAGACATAAAAGACATTTTAAAATGTTTATATATTTTGGAGCCTGCACTGTGGCACAGCAGGTTAAAGCCCTGACCTGAAGCGCCAGCATCCCATATAGGCGCCGGTTCTAGTCCCAGCAGCTCCTCTTCCGATCCAGCTCTCTTCTATGACCTGGGAAAGCAGTGGAAGATGGCCCGAGTGCTTGGGCCCCTGCACCCACATGGGAGACCCGGAAGAAGCTCCTGGTTCCTGGCTTCAGATCAGCATAGCTCCAGCCATTGCAGCCATCTGGGGAGTGAACCAGCAGATGGAAGACCTCTCTCTGTGTACCTTTCTCTGTAACTCCATTTTTCAAATAAATAACATAAATCTTAAAAAATAAAATGTTTATATATTTTAATCTACTTGAAAGGTAGAATGACATAGAGAGGTGGAGAGAGAGAGAGCTCCTCCATCCACTGATTGACTCCCCAAATGCCTGTAATAGCCAGGGCTGAACCAGGCCAAAGCAAGGGACCTAGAATACCATCCAGGTCTCACATGTGGGTGGCAGGGGTCCAAGCACTTGAGCCATAGTCTGCTACCTCCCCAGGATGTTAGCAGGAAGTTGGATTGGAAGTAGAGGTGCCAGGACACGAGCTGGCACTCTGATGTGAGATGCAGGTGTCACGAGCAGCAGCTTCACCCACTTGTGTCACAGTGCTCCCCCAGAGACATTGACCACAACTGATGACACTGAATTAATGTTAGTATTTTTATTGTGATGATACTGCTTTCTTACAGAGCAGACTGTTCTCATTCTTAGGAATGCATACTGAAATATTTATGGGTGAAGTGCTATAATATCTACAAAATATTGAGTTACTGGTTTTTAAATTTCTTTTCATTGCTTTTTGTTTTAATGCAGATTCCTGTATCAAGCCTGAGGGATACAGTCCTAGAACTAGCAGTGTTTGATCAACATAGGAGAAAGTTTGATAATTTCAGTTCACTAATACTAGAATGGAAATCCTCTAATGAAACACTAGCCTACTTCGAAGATTATAATGCAGTGGAGATGGTAGCAAAAGATGATGGCAGTGGGCAGACCCGGTTACATGGTTTGTGCAAATTGACGAATCCTTTTGTATATTGTACCTGTTAAATGATTCTACACTAGATATTTCCTTATGGGCAAGGATTTAATTTGGATTTTATCGTTTATCTCCTTTAATTTTATTTATTTTTAATTATTTGTTTACTTTTATGTTTTGAAAAAAGATTATTTGAAAGACAGAGTGACAGAGTCGGAAAGAGATCTTTCATTTGCTGGGTCGCTCCCCAAATGTCCACAACTGTGGGCATTGGGCCAGTCTGAAGCCAAGAGCCTGGAACTCCATCTGGGTCTCCGACATGGGTTGCAGGGGCCCGAACACTTGGGCCATCTTCTGCTTCCTTCCCAGGAGAATTAGCAGGAAACTGGATCAGAAGCAGAGCATCTGGAACTCAACCATTGCTGCAATGGAATGCTGGCGTCACAGGTGGCTGCTTCACCTCCTGCACCACAATGGCCCCTTATTTTTATTGTTACTTGAAAGGCAGAGACAGAGTAATTTGGGGCTGGTGCTGTGGCACAGTGGGTTAAAGCCCTGGCCTGCAGCACTGGCATCCTATACAGGCTGTTCTACTTCCGATCCAGCTCCCTGCTGGTGCCCCTGGAAAGGCAGTAGAAGATGGCCCAGGTGCTTGGGCCCCTGCACCCACATGGGAGACCTGGAAGAAGCTCCTGGTTTCTGGCTCCTGGCTCCTGAGTCCTGGGTCCTGGCTTCAGATTGGCCCATGTCTGGCTGTTGTGGCCATTTGGGGAGTGAATCAGCAAATTAAAGATCTCTGTCTCTCTCTATATATATATAACTCTGCCTTTCAAATAAATAAATAACTCTTTTTTAAAAAAAAAAAAAGAAAGAAGAGAAAAAGAGAGAAAGATGAGGGGGAGGGGGAAGAGTAAGAAGGGAGGAGGAGAGGGAAGGAGGGTCACATTACAGATTATAGAAGACTTCAAATACTAGCTGCAGAGCTTGAATTGACCTAATAAAAGCAGTTAGCCATTTAAAATGTTTGAGTAAATGATTGTAGATACACATATGTATATGAAGATAGACATCTACATATACAGAACGGTGTAGAAGAGTGGAGGGTCCCAAAAGACTGTCCGTGTATTTCTTGTTCCCATTTGTAGGTCAAACAAGAACTCCTCATACATTTGTTGAAATCCTATTTTTGGACTCAGTGACCCTCACAAGTGGAAAGAACTGTAGTTTTGCCTGGCCCATTCCCTCATTTAATAAAGACACTGAGGGGCCAGCACTGTGTCGTAGTGGGTAAAGCCACCACCAGCAGTGCCGGCATCCCATATGGGTGCCGGTTCAAGTCCCAGCTGCCCCACTTCTGATCCAGCTCATTGCTATGGCCTGAAAGCAGTGGAAGATGGCCCAAGTCCTTGGGCCCCTGCACCCATGTGGGAGACCCCAGAAGAAGCTCCTGGCTCCTGACCTTGTATTGGCACAACTCCAGTCATTGTGGCCATTTGGGGAGTGAACCAGCGAATGGAAGACCCCTCTCTCTCTGCCTCTGCCCCGCCTCTCTGTCATCCATGTCCCACATTGGAGTGCCTAGGTTTCTAGTCCCTGTTCTGTAACTGATTCTAATTTTTCCTGCTAATGGATACACCGTGAGGCAGCAGGTGATTGTGCAAGTACTTGGGTCCCTGCAACTCACATGAGGAACCCAAATTGAATTCCTGGCTCCTGAGCATTTGAATGTAAACCAACAGGTGGGAGGTGTGTGTGTGTGTGTGTGTGTGTGTGTGGCAAATAAAATAAATTAGAAATTTTCAAACAAGTTCATAAAAATTGTGCATTGTTTTTAGAACTATGAATTTCAATTTTTTTACCAAATAAGTTTACTTTTTAATTCTACTTTTCCACAAATGATTTGAAATATCTCCATAGTGGCAGAGTTAACACTGAGTTAGAATGTAGTTTTCATTTCTCATGTATTCCCCCCATTCAGTGTTTTCCTCCTCTGCAATAAAACACCATTTGGAAAAGATTGGGACAAAATTTGGTGTTCTGGAGATACTTTTTTATGGTTTTTTAAATTTATTTATTTGAAAGGTGGTGTTACGGAGAGGCAGAGAGAGAAAGAGAGAGTGGTCTTCCATCTGCGGGTTCACCCTCCAAATGGCCACAACGGCCAGAGCTGAGCCAATCCGAAGACAGGAGCCAGGAGCTTTTATATTCTACATGTTAATGGCTTTTTTTTGTATTTTTGTATTTTGTTTTTTTTTTTCTGTATGTTATTGTATGTATGTTATTGTATTGTATTTCTGTATGTTTTCAGGTCATCAGGTCCTTAAAGTACATGGGATAAAAGGGACGGTACTCATTGGAGTCAATTTTGTGGGCTATTCAGCAAAGAAAAGCCCAAAGGTAAGTGAAGATTATGAAATAAGATGTATAAATTGGGCCAGCGCTGTGGCACATGGGTTCAAGCCCCAGCCTGCAGCTCTGGCATCCCATATGGGTGCCAGTTCAAGTCCCGGCTGCTCCTCTTCTGATCCAGCTCTCTGCTATGGCCTGGGAAAGCAGTAAAAGATGGCCCAAGTCCTTGGGCCCCTGCACCCGCCTGGGAGACCTGGAAGAAGCTCCTGGCTCCTGACTCCTGGCTTCAGATCAGCTCAGCTCTGATCGTTGTGGTAATTTGGGAAGTGAAACAACGGAATGGAAGCCCTCTCTCTCTGGCTCTACCACTCTCTCTGTAACTCTGTCTTTGGTATAAAAAAAATAAATCTTTAACAACAAAAAAAGATTTGTAAATTAGGGGTGGGCATTATGGAACTCTGGGTTAAGCTGCGTCTTTGGATGCCAGTATCCTGTACATGCCTAAGATCAAGTCCCACCGCCGTTTCTGATCCAGCTTCTTCAGAGCACCTCAGAGGCAGCATATGATGGCCCAGGTACTTGGGCTCCTGCCACCCACCTGGGAAATCTGGATGGAGTGCTGGGCTCCTGACTTCTGGCCAGCCCCAGCTGTTTCAGGCATTTGGAGAATGAACCAACAAATGGAATCTCTCTCTCTCTCTGCCTCTCTCCCTCCTTCCCTCCATCTCTGTTTATCACTCTGCCTTTCAAATTAAACAATTGGCCGGCGCCGTGGCTCAATAGGCTAATCCTCCACCTTGCGGCGCCGGCACACCGGGTTCTAGTCCCGGTTGGGGCGCCGGATTCTGTCCCGGTTGCCCCTCTTCCAGGCCAGCTCTCTGCTATGGCCAGGGAGTGCAGTGGAGGATGGCCCAGGTGCTTGGGCCCTGCACCCCATGGGAGACCAGGAAAAGCACCTGGCTCCTGCCAGGATCAGCGCGGTGCGCCGGCTGCAGCGGCGGCCATTGGAGGGTGAACCAGCGGCAAAAAGGAAGACCTTTCTCTCTCTGTCTCTCTCTCACTGTCCACTCTGCCTGTCAAAAAAAAAAAAAAAAAAATTAAACAATTGAACCTTAAGGCTTTGTTTTTTTCTTTTTAAAGATTTATTTTATCTGAAATACAGGGTGATAGAGAGAGAGGGGGAGAGAGAAACAGAGAGGGAGAGGGAGAGAGAGAGAGAGGGAGAGAGAGAGAGGGAAAATCTTCTGTCCACTGATTAACTCTCCAAATGACTCCAAAGGCCAGTGCTGGGCCAGGCTGATGCCAGTAGCTTCATCCAGCTCTCCCACATGGATGCAGGGGCCCAAAGACTTGAGCCATCTTCCACTGCTTTTCCCAGGCCATTAGCAGGGAGCTGGAGCAGAAGAGGAGCAGCTGGCACACAAACTGGTGCCCACATGGGATGCCGGCACCGCAGGCAGAGGCGTAGCCCACTATGCCGCAACACCAGTCTTGAGAATTATGCACTTCTGTGATTCTGTAACCTTTGGCACCAATGAGTACAGGAATTTTCTCTCACTGAGCTGAGAAATGAGAAATTGTGTGATTCTCCTTACATTTCTAGGAAATTTCCGACTTGCCCAGATCTGCAGCTGTGGAACTGCTCCTGGTGGATGATGTAACTGTGCTGCCTGAGAATGCTACCATCTATAATCATCCTGATGTGAAGGTAGAAGCTGTATGGGTCTTGTGAAAGGGAATCATGTTGGAGGGGAGATTATCAAGAGTATGAGAAAACACTCACTTGGGGCAAGCATTTGGTGGCTAAGCTCCTCCTGGGATGCTCACATCCCATGTCAGAGTTCCTGGGTTTGGGTCTGGTTTCATTCTCCACTCCAGCTTCCTGCTAAAGCACACCCTGGGAGGCAGCAGGTGATGACCCAAGTAGTTGGATCCCTGCCACCCATGTGGGAGAACAGGATGGAGCGCCTGCCTCCTGGCTTCCGCCTGACCCAGCCCACGTTGTGGCAGGCATCTGGGTAGCTTAGCAGCAGATGGGTGATCTCTCTCTATCTCTCCTGTCTTTCTGCCTTTCAAATAAATTAAATAAACAAATAAATTTTGAAAAACATTCACTTATGTGTTGAAAATCGCATTCATATGTATAACACATATATAATAATTAGCTGTAATATTCTTAAGGTATATTTAATAATATTTTATATTGTGTCCATTAACTTTAATATTTTAACTCCACACCCTTTTAGATAAGTGGAAGCCATTCCCTTTGAGCTATTTATAAACTGAATGGAATAGAATATTGTTGTCTGATTGTTCCACAGGAAACATTTAACCTCGTGGAAGGGTCTGGTTATTTTTTGGTTAACAGCAGTGAGCAAGATATTGTCACCATCATTTATATGGAAGCAGAAAGCTCTGTCCAGGTGAGTTGTGGAGCTATTCCCAGATTGATGGTCTCAGGCCAAGTTCATTGTTAGGCAAATCATTAAAAATTTCACTGTGTGTCTAAAACTTGTTACAAAAGTAACATTTTCCTTTTTTTCTTTCTTTCACCTAATTGATTCTTCAACCAAAAATAGCTAAAATACTGAGCAAGTTTTGCTTCTATCTGAACTGAGAACAGTATAACATACATCTAGATTAGATTTCCATTAAAAAGAAGGCTAATTTTCATAGGTTTTAAAATGTATACCTGTGTAGATAATTAAATATACTAATGACTTTATAACTTGAGTATATCATGTTTTCAGGCAGAATATGAAAACTGGAAATATTAAGCTGACCCCACAGACAGTATGCCAAAGAACTTGTTTTTAGTTGACCTGCAGTAATAAAAACACCTAAAGATAATATTTATACTTATATATCTTTCTAAGAGCTCAAACAACTTCAGATGTCTTTGTTTTAAAAAAAAAAGGGAGTCAGGCACTAGGTGCTGACAAAAGATGTGAAAAAACATGCTGTTATTCAGAGCTGTAGTACAAGGAGGAAGAGTGAAGTGTCAGTCAGCTCCTAGTGGTGATCTCAACACCTGTAAATGGACTTGATTCTCTTCTTGAAATTCTTTCCTTGTCCATACTTAACAAGCTGGATACGTATGTTAGATTCTGCTTGAATTCAATCAACTTAAATTCTACTCTGTCAGTCAATATTTATTAAGGTACTTTGCCATGAAATGAAACATCCTGTTAAGAATACACACTGTACTATGCCTGAAATATGTGAAGGAACCTTCAAGAGTTCCCATCCCAAAGGAAGTAAGATGTCACATTTTCCGCTTTGAGGAGAATAGTTGCTCTGATTATGCTTGGACCATGTTTGCTTCTTTACTCAGCTGCTATCATCTTCCTTCTAGTTAATCCCAGTGCACCCTGGATTTCTCACCTTAGAAGTCTATGATCTTTGCTTGGCTTTCTTGGGCCCAGCAACAGCCCACCTCAGAGTGTCAGACATACAAGAGCTGGAGCTCGATTTGATTGATAAGGTGAGAGACGTCTGCTTTGTCTCAGATATGAAATGAGCTTCATTCTTATTCCCTAACAACACTCAATATAGTTTCTTCTCAGCTACTACGTGTGTATAGCAGGACTCTTGGTAGTGTTTATAGAAACACTAGTCTTGCCGGCGCCGCGGCTCACTAGGCTAATCCTCCATCTTGCGGTGCCAGTACCCGGGTTCTAGTCCCGGTCGGGGCGCCGGATTCTGTCCCGGTTGCCCCTCTTCCAGGCCAGCTCTCTGCTGTGGCCAGGGAGTGCAGTGGAGGATGGCCCAAGTGCTTGGGCCCTGCACCCCATGGGAGACCAGGAAAAGCACCTGGCTCCTGGCTCCTGCCATCGGATCAGCGCGGTGCACTGGCCGCAGTGCGCCAGCCGCGGCGGCCATTGGAGGGTGAACCAACGGCAAAGGAAGACCTTTCTCTCTGTCTCTCTCTCTCACTGTCCACTCTGCCTGTCAAAAAAAAAAAAAAAGAAGAAGAAGAAGAAGAAATACCAGTCCTTAAGGGACAATACTCCGGCCCGTGCACCGGGTCCATGTGGGCGCCCGTGCTGCACAGTGCAAGGTCACCATGGCAGAGCTGCAGCAGCTCCGGCTGCAGGAGGCGGTGGACTCCATGGTGAAGAACCTGGAGAGGGAGAGCATCCGTAGATGCAGGGCTTCACGTTCCAGTGCAGCACTGGCTGTTGTGAGGACAGCTGGGTGTCCATGCAGCAGGTACACAATGCATCGACACTGCCACATGCCTCTGGCTCAGGCCCAGGCCTTGGTGACAAGCGAGCTGGAGAAGCTCCAGGACCGCCTGGCCCGGTGTATCATGCACTGCAACGACAAAGCCAAAGATTCCATAGACGCAGGGAATAAGGAGCTGCAGGTGATGCAGCAGCTGGACAGTTGTGTGACCAAGTGTGTGGATGGCCACATGCACCTCATCCCAACCATGACCAAGAAGATGAAGGAGTCGCTCTCATCCATTGGTAAATAAAAGTCTGCCGGTGGCCATCGGGGCTGTGGGAAGGAATCTATTTTTAAAAGGAATGGGAACTTTAGTCTTTTATGAATGAAGTTATAGAAGACAACGAGTTTAAAGCATATGAAACTTGCCTCTGGACACTGATTCCTTTATATTTCAATCCTTGGAAATGAAAAAAAAAAAATCTAAAATCTGGCTAGAGATACAGGGGAGTGTTTTCGAGCCTAGACTTCATGTGGCAAGGGTTTGTGCTGGCAGTAGGGCCCTCCCTTGTATCCAGGCGGAGCCCCCCAAAGCACCAGATTCTTCTTACCTGCACAGGTACAGTAGGCGGTGGGTTCCTCTCACCTGCCTGAGGTCTGGTGCAGTTGGAGAGAGGGGCTTCTGTGCATTGCCAGCCTCCTATTTGGCAGAGCTGTTGCCACACCGTTTTCCATACATTGTAACACAGAATTCACAAGGTCACTAGTGGAAAAGGGGAAAATATGTTTCTGGGCCTTTGTTTTGCTTGGTTTTGTTTTATATACAAGGGCATGAGGTTGATTCAAGATGTGGAGTTGGGAGGGAGAGTAGTTTGGGAAAGAATTTTTGAAGGACCCTGTGGACTGCATCTTTCAGCCTGGAGACAAGCAAACTCAGGAGAAGCGATGTCACGCAGGGTGTGGGAAGCACAGCTCCCCTCTCACGGGTCCCAGGATAAACTTGCGGCGACAGTTTCCCCTTGTAAGGAAAGGGGGTTTTGACCGTGACTTATACCAATATCTAGGAATGAACGGTAAAAGGTGAACTACTGGCTACATAATAAAGAGCTGTCAAGTACTAGGTTTGAAAGAACCTGAGTTTTGTGTAACGGAATGGGATGAAAGCCTAAACAGAGCATTGCTTACTTAGCCCCTGAATTAACAGAGCCTTATTCAGACAATCCCCTGGCGACTAGAAGGTCAAAGGAGGAAAAGCAGCAGCCTGGGGGAGCCTCAACTGCCTGAGAGCGGGGAAAGGGAAGGGAGCCCCACATTACCAGGTCCCATCTTGTCTGGGGCCCTTGCAGCCCACAAGTGTCGTGCCCCAGAATGGCACCTTATCATTTTTGATAAGGATCTTGTTTGTTTTTTTTAAGAACTTGCTGAAATGATCATATAGCTTGTCTGTTCACTGTTAGAATGCTGTGATATATTTTCCTAGTTGTTTGGTTTTAAAGAAAATAAATAAGGTTTAATCCCTGCCCCCTCCCCCAAAAAAGGGACAATACACCAACATTAAACATGATGAAGGTAAGTAGAACCTTAAAGAGCAACTTAAACAATACACACACATTAGGCTTATAGGATCAAAGGCTGACCAGGAACATTTAGCATGAACATAAAAGTTTGTCTCCCTTTAAGCGTTAGACAGCCCTTGATGAATGAGATACCTCTATTAAACATCTACTATTTCCTTTTTTAAACTACTAGGTTGAGATAGGCAAGACTGTGTTAGTGACTGTGAGGGTTCTTGGCCCTTCCAAACGTCCATTTCGAAATAAATACTTTCAAAACATGGAGCTTAAACTGCAGTTGGCTTCTGCCATTGTCACCCTCACGTAAGTATCATTTCAATACATCTTTCTCCTTATGCTTGATATCATGGGGCTCTCCCTCCTGGGAGCCTGGGCAGCTTTCTCTTAGGTTACTTCAGATTTTCTCCTTTCCTTTTATTGGGTGGAGGGTGGGGTGGGGAAACAGGTAGAGAGAGAGAGCTGCCTTACTCTGGCTCATTCCCTAAATGCCCCTCAGCCAAAGGAGCCGAGAATTCAATCCAGGTTTCCCATGTGGGTGGCAAGGGCCCAACTACTCCACCCATCACCTGCATTAGCAGAAAACTAGAATCAGGAGCAGAGCCTAGATTCAAACTTAAGGGCTCCATTTTGGGACGAGTCCTAACCCGACTTTTAACGGCTGGACCAAGTGCCTGCCACTCCTTTCCTTTTCTGATACAGTAAATTTCAGCCCAAAACTCACTTCTCATATTCAGCCCTCTACAAGATACCTATTTCAGGTTCTCAGATGTTTTGTTTGGGGACTAAAATCATGTGTGCGTCATTAATATTTCCATTAAAAAAGATTTATTTATGTATTTATTTATTTACTGGGTGGGGAGGGGAGCATCTTCCACTTACTGGTTCAGGGCCAGGCCAAAGCCAGGAGGCAAAAACACCATCCTGGTCTCGCTCTTGAGTGTCAGGGGCCCAAGCACTTGGTCATCCTCTGCTGCCTTCCCAGGCACTTTGGCAGGAAGTTGGGTCAGAAGCGGAGTGCTCAAACTGGTGCTCCAGTGTGGGATGCCCGTGTCACAAACAACAACTTAACTCGCTGGCCACAACACTGGCCCCTCCCTTTTTTAAAAAAATTTATGTATTTATTTATTTGAAAAGCTAAGTGATAGGCGAGGGAGAGAGAGAGAGAGAATCTTCCATCTCCCCAAACTGTGTGCAATTGCCAGGGCTGGGACAGGCTACAGTCAGGAACTCAGAACTCCGTCTTGGTCTCCCATGTGGGTAGCAAGGACCCAAGTTACTTGGGCCACCTTCTGCTGCCTTCCTAGGTGCAATAGCAGGAAGCTGGATTGGAAGCAAAGCAGCCAAACTCTAACTGGCACTGTGACATGTGATACAGGAGTCTCAAGCAGTGCCTTTACCAGCTGTGCCACAATGGCCGCTCTAATATTTCCATCTTTAAAATTTCTCCTTGTGGGGGAGGGTGCTGTGGCTTAGCGGGTAAAGCCACCACCTGCAGTGCCAGCATCCATATGGATGAGTCTTGGCTGTTCCACTTCCAACCCAGCTCCCTGCTAATGTGCCTGGGAGAGCAGTAAAAGATGGCCTAAGTGCTTGGGCCCCTGCCACCCATGTGGGAGACCTGGAAGAAGCTCCTGGCTTCGAATCAGCCCAGTACCATCCACTGCAGCCATTTGGGGAGTGAACCAGCTGATGGAAGTCCCCCCCTCCCCTCTCTCCCTCTGCCTCTCTGTAACTCTGCCTTTCAAATAAATTTTAAAAAATAAATTTTAAAAAAAAAATTTCTCCTTAGAGGACCAGCAATGTGATGTATCAGGTAAAGCTGCCACATGCAATGCCAGTACCCCTATGGGCACCAGTTCAAGTCCTAGCTGCTCCACTTCCCATCCAGCTCTCTGTTAATGTGGCTGGAAAAGCAGTGGAAGATAACCCAAATACTTGGGCCCCTGTACCCACATGGGAGATCCAGAATAAGCTGCCTCCTGGCTTCAGATGGGCCCAGCTCTGGCTTTTGCAGCCATTTGGGGAGTGAACCAGTGGATGGAAGAGTCTCTTTCTGTCTCTCCCTCCCTCCTTCTCTCTCTCTCTCTCTGTGAACTCTGCCTTTCAAGCCAGGGGACTATCAAAAATCTGTTTAGAAGCAGAGACACTGTCGTTCTCTCTGAGAATGGAGAAATACAGGAATTCCAAGACAATTTAGTATTTGCAGGTTTGCCAATCTATGTTTATATTGCCCTATTCCCTTGGAACCTTAGAACAATTTTTTGTCCCTCATAAGCTTCCTATCGTTGCTAGGAAATTTGTCTTGGCTCTGGAAATTTACAACTATTTTCTTGCAGTTCCCCCTAGCCGAATTAAAATGAACATAAAATGTTAAACATCTTGAAAATCTGCATTGCTGGCCACTTTCAAAAATAAATCTTTTAGGGCCCGGTGCTGTGGCATAGTGGGCTAGGCCTCTGCCTGCGGCACCAGCACCCCTTATGGGATGCTCTTCTTTCAATCCAGCTCTCTGCTATGGCCTGGGAAAACAGAGGAAGATGGCCTAAGTGCTTAGGCCCCTGCACCCATGTGGGAGACCCGGAAGAAGCTCCAGGATCCTGGCTTCAGATCGGCACAGCTCCAGCCATTGGAGCCATTTGAGGAATGAACCATCAGACGGAATACCTTTCTGTCTCTCCCTCTATCTGTAACTCTACCTCTCAAACAAATAAAATAAAACATTTAACACAAATCTTTCTTACTGATAAATGCATGGATCTTTGCAGGCTAATGGACGAACAAGATGAATACTCTGAAAATTATATCCTTCGAGCTGTCACTGTTGGGCAAACCACACTTGTAGCTATTGCCAGAGACAAGATGGGGAGAAAATTCACATCAGCTCCTCGGCAAATTGAAGTAAGCAAATGATCTCATCCAAAATTTATACTTCATCTTTTTTAGCATTGTGTATCTTTTTCTATTTAGTTTGCACAAATTGAAAATCATCTGACCAAAAAATAAAAATATGAGAGTTGTCTAACTCTTGAACAACTTATAGCATACTTTTGGTCTTTTGTTTTCTGTAAAACAGTAATAAAGTTCTTGTAGAAATTTTGCAAAGCACAAAAGAATGTTAAAAATGCAGCATAAACTCGCAAGTCACGTGAGCTGCCAAAATGGCGGCGCTGAGGGGTGAGGCTGGTGCAGACGTGAAAGATGCCGGTGTGGTACCATTAGGAACTGGGGAAGTGCCCAAGGACATCAGAATGGCAACATATACACGTGGTCAGCCTAGTCCTTCTCTAAGAGATGCAAAACTCGGAAGACCAATGGTCATCGAAATCATAGAAAAAAAATTTGAATATCTTCGAAAAGAAAAGACCTTAAATATATATGGAACACTGACCCTTGGCACAACAGCTGGTTTTTCTGGAATACTGGCAAACTTCATTTTCAGACATTGCTTCAAGGTTAAACATGATGCTTTGAAAACATATGCATCATTGACTAGACTTCCATTTTTATCTACCATAGTTGCTTACAAGCTCCTTATAACCGATGCTTTGTATTCAGGTAACATAAGCAAGGAAAACTGTGTCCTTAGAAGTTCACTGATTGGCATAGTATGTGGTATTTTATATCCCTCTAGTTTGGCTTTTTCTAAAAATGGATGCCTGGCAGTCAGATATCATACAGTTCCACTGCCACCGAAAGGAAGGGTTTTACTCCACTGGCTGCTGCTTTGTCAAACAGAGATGAAAGCAATGGTGATTCCTCTAGTCTTTCAGACAATGTTTGGAATACTTATTGGTTTACAGCATTATTCACTGTTTGAAAAAACACTTGCAAAAACTGTACATGAAGATTAATCAAAGAATGGGTACTGATTCAGCAAAATGGGTTTTTTTAATGATGAGTACTTGGATATTGTGGAAAAAATTGAAAGTCACTCTGGACAGAGAACTTGTCTCTGTTTTGCCTGCTATATTGCAGATACTTAATAAATATTCAGTAATTCAATAAATGTAAAACAATGTGAAAAAAAATGCAGCATAAGAGGCTGGCACTATGGCTCAGTTGGTTGGTCCTCCGCCTGCGGCGCCGGCATCTCATATGGGCGCTGGGTTCTAGTCCCAGTTGCTCCTCTTCCAGTCCAGCTCTCTGCTGTGGCCCAGGAGGGCAGTGGAGGATGGTCCAGGTGCTTGGGCCCCTGCATCTGCCATGGGAGACCAGGAGGAAGCACCTGTCTCCTGGCTTCAGATCGGCACAGCGCGCCAGCTGTAGCGGCCATTTTGGGGGTGAACCAACAGAAGGAAGACCTTTCTCTCTGTCTCTCTCTCTCACTGTCTAACTCTGCCTGTCAAATTAAAAAAAAAAAATGCAGCATGAAAGTCACCTGTAGGGGCCTGTGCTGTGGCATGCTGCACCAGTTCAAGTCCCAGGTGCTCCACTTCCAGTCCAGCTCTCTGCTAACACTCCTGGGAAAGCAGTGGAAGCACTTGGGCCCCTGACCCACCTGGGAGACCCAGAGGAAGCTCCTGGCCCCTAGCTTCAGATCATCCCAGCTCTGGCTGTTGCGGCCATTTGAAGAGTGAACCAGCAGATGGAAGATCAATCTCTCTCTCTCTCTCTCTCCCTCTCTGCCTCTGTCTCTGCCTCTCAAATAAATAAATAAATATCTTAAAAAAAAAAAAAAAGCTGCCACCTGCAGTGCTGGCATCCCATATGGGCACCAGTTCGTGTCCTGGCTATTCCACTTCCAATCCAGCTCTCTGCTATGGCCTGGGAAAGCAACAGAAGATGGCCCAAGTCCTTGGGCCCCTGCACCCATGTGGGAGACCTGGTAGAATCTCTTGGCTCCTGGCTGCAGATCTTCCCAGCACTAACCATTGCAGCCATTTGGAGAGTAAACAAGTGGTTGTTAAGATATCTCTGTCTCCCTCTCTCCCTCTCTCTCTGTATCTCTCTGCCTCTACCCCTACCTCTCTGTAACTACCTTTCAAATAAATAAGGGGCTGGCACTTCTTTAAAAATAAATAAATAATCTTTTAAAAAAAAAGAGTGGTTGCCTCTAAGTAGCAGAATTACAGGTGACTTTAAAAAAAAAAAAAGATTTATTTATTTGTTTGAAAAGCAGAATTACAGAGGCAGAGGCAGAGAGAGAGAGGTCTTCCATCTACTAATTTACTTCCCAAATGGCCACAACAGCTGGGCTGGGTTGATTCGAAGCGAGGAGCTTCTTCCAGGTTTCCCAAATGAGTGCAGGGACCTAAGGACTTGGGCCATCTTCCACTGCTTTCCCAGGCACATTAGCAGGGAGCTGGATCAGAAGTGGAACAGCAGGGACTTGAACCAGGGCCCATATGGAATTGCTAGCACTGCAGGCTGCACTTTTACCTGCTATGCCACAGCCCTGGCCCCAAGGCAACCACTCTTAAGATTTCAATTAGGGGTGATGTTGTGGCACAGCGAACTAAGCCACTGCTTAAGGTGCTGGCATCCCATATCTGGGCACAGGTTCAAGTTGCAGCTGCTCTGCTTCTGATTCAGCTCTCAGCCAGTGTGCCTGAGAAAGCAGTGGATGGTGGCCCAAAGATTTGAGACTCTGCCACCCACATGGGAGAACTGGATGGAGTTCCTGGCTCCTGGCTTCAGTCTGCCCCAAATCTGGCTGCCTACCTTTCAAACAAATAAATATTTAAAAGGAAAAGAAAACAGACTTTTACTACAACAAATGAAAAAGGAGAGGCTGATGTTGTGGCACAGTGACTTAAGCCACTGCTTGAAATCCTGGCATCCCATAATGGAGGACTGGTTCAAGTCTTGGCTACTCTACTTCCTATCCACCTTCCTGCTCATGTGCCTGGGAAGACAGCCAATGATATCGCAAACCTACACTCACCCGCCCATTGGTACCGTTTGGGGAGTGAACCAGTGAATGGAAGATTCTCTCTCTGTCTCTCCCTCTCTCCCTCTCTCTCTCTCTCCCTCTCTTTTTGCCTTTCAAATAAATAAGTAAATCTTAAAAAAACAATATTTCAGTGGATTTCCTTCAATTTTTCCCCTGTGAATATTTTAACGTGGATAACTCACACTCTTGTTTTCATCTGAATCTTTTATCAAAAGTATTTTCTTATGTTATTAAAAGCTAATTGTTGGCCGGCGCCGCGGCTCACTAGGCTAATCCTCCGCCTTGCTGTGCCGGCACACCGGGTTCTAGTCCCGGTCGGGGCGCCGGATTCTGTCCTGGTTGCCCCTCTTCCAGGCCAGCTCTCTGCTGTGGCCAGGGAAGGCAGTGGAGGATGGCCCAAGTGCTTGGGCCCTGCACCCCATGGGAGACCAGGAGAAGCACCTGGCTCCTGCCATCGGATCAGCGCGGTGCGCCGGCCACAGTGCGCCAGCCGCAGCGGCCACTGGAGGGTGAACCAATGGCAAAGGAAGACCTTTCTCTCTCTCTCTCTCTCTCTCTCTCTCTCACTGTCCACTCTGGCTGTCAAAAATTTAAAAAAAAAAAAAAAAAGCTAAAGCTAATTGTTGGTGAAACTGGGTAATAGGTGCCTGAGAGCTCATTGTTCAAAAAAAGTTAATTTCAAATATAAATTTAATGGCCACTTTTAATCCAGTGTGTGGATATATAGTAACATATGTAAGTATTCCCACTTAAGCTACTTAAAACTTTTTGCTATTATAAATACAAGTAGTAACTTCTTTGTACATAGTTAGAAGTTTTCCTTAGACTAAGACCAGTCATTTGTTATGAAATTGACTCTAGTTAGTTATTGTTGTCTTTTGGGTTTTCTCCTTCAAGGTGTTTCCTCCCTTCAGACTTGTTCCGGAGAAAATGACACTGATTCCAACTAACATGATGCAGGTGATCTGAAAGAAAAATAAGGTTTACCTTCTCTCTCTCTCCCTCTCTCTCCCTCTCTCTCTCTCTCTCTCTCTCTCTCTCTCTCACACACACACACACACACAAATCCTCTTCCTGTTGTCTTCCTCTTATCTACTCCCAACCGAATTTGATACCGAAGAAAATGAGTGTTTTCCCTCATTTACGATGTACGTGGTATAAACCGTCTCTTGGAGTCCCATGGACAATTCACAGCACTTCCATTTCTTCTGCATTTGAGCTGATATGGGATATGCTCTACAGGAAGTGCGGGGAACTGAAGAAGTCAAGTTGTTTGGATAAAATGTTGGAGAAAGGGATGTGACTTCTTCTTGATATTCCAGGTATTCACTGGCATGTTTATAAATTCCAGGTAATGTCTGAAGGCGGCCCCCAGCCCCAGTCAATCATTCACTTCTCCATCAGTAATCAGACTGTGGCTGTTGTTAATAGGCGTGGACAGGTCACAGGCAAGGTGGCTGGCACAGCTGTGGTCCATGGCACTATCCAGGCAGTAAATGAAGATACTGGAAAAGTCATTGTGTTTTCTCAGGTATTAGTTCTGCTTCTGCTCTTCCATCTGGGAACCAGATTCATAGTGGGGAGGAGTGGGAGGGCTTCGTGATGATAAGGGCATAGGCAGCACAAGAAAACCCTGGTAGTCCCCCTTACCTTGCATTCTCTTGACAGGCATGGAAAACAAGTCATTTTTAGTGAAAAACCTACAGAGTATGGGCATTGTTGTAAGACATGGTCCCTATTATGAAGTAGTTTCAAGAAAAAAAAAATATCTATGGTGTGAGGTTATTGGTGAATGCCAAAACAACAAACCAGTTGTTGTAAGCATCTTTGTCCACCCCACAGAAACTCCCTCTTAGACTAAGCTTGCTCTCCACCCTGTTGAGCAGGATGAAGTGCAGATTGAAGTCGTTCAGCTGAGGGCTGTGAGGATCCTCGCAGCTGCGACTAGACTCATCACAGCCACTGAGGTCAGTAGGCTGGGCCTGTTCCTGGCTCACACTCTGATAACACCAGGCAAGGGAAATGTAGGGCACAAGACCACTTTTTCTTTCCAGATGCCTGTTTATGTCATGGGAGTGACCAGTACCCAGACCCCTTTCTCATTCAGCAATGCCAGTCCCGGGCTCACATTCCACTGGTCTATGAGCAAAAGGGATGTATTGGACCTCGTGCCCAGGCATTCAGAGGTATGAGTTTCTCTATTTATTCTATTATCTTAGTCATGTTGATGTCCGACTTATTTTATTTCATCATAAGTTTTAGATTGGCTCATTTTCTAAACTATACAGTATTGTCATCTATCTACTTTTACTGTTGTTCTGTGAACTCTGGAAACCTGCATATCATATGAAGAATCCAAATTTAAGGGTTAGGTGTTATGGCACCATAGATTAACTCTGCTTGGGATGTCCACATCCCATATTGGAGTACCAGTTCTAGTTTTGGCTGCTCCGCTACTGATCCACTCATTGCCAATATGCCGGGGAAGCAGTGGAAGATGGCCCAAATACCTGAGCTCCTGCCACCCATATAGAGTTCCTGGCTCCTGGCTTTAGCTTGGCCCAGCTCCATTGTAGCCATTTGGGAAATGAACCAACAAATGGAAGATCTCTCTCTCTCTCTCTGCCTTTTAAATAAATAAATATTTTTAAATTTTGAATTAATTTTTAATGTAATTTTAAAATATGTTTAAGGCTCCAAATTTTGAGTAATCACGATACTATATGAGTTTTAATTATTTTTGCTGGAAAAAGCTCTCAAAAACAAATTTTTTTTACTTTTTTTTTTTTTTTTTTTTGGACAGGCAGAGTTAGTGAGAGAGAGAGACAGAGAGAAAGGTCTTCCTTCCATTGGTTCACCCCCCAAATGGCTGCTACAGCTGGCTCGCTGAGCCGATCCCAAGCCAGGAGCCAGGCGCCTCCCTCTGGTCTCCCATGCAGGTGCAGGGCCCAAGCACTTGGGCCATCCTCCACTGCTTTCCCTGGCCACAGCAGAGAGCTGGACTGGAAGAGGGGCAACTGGGACAGAATCCGGTGCCCCAACCGGGACTAGAACCCAGGGTGCTGGAGCCACAGGTGGAGGATTAGCCTAGTGAGCTGCGGCACTGGCCTATATTGTATTTTTTGAATAATATATTTACGAGCAGGTGGTTTTTATATGAGTAACACCTGATATCTTTTAACATGTTCAGACACTTCTAACTGTGTTCATAACCATGGTGCCTGCATGATATAAAAGGTGTATCCAGAGGACTGTAGATGGCACTGTGAAGCCAGGCAGGTTCCTGGGCCCACCTTAACAGGAGCTGGAGAAGAACGGGATTCGCACAGTGGGCTGTCAGTCATCGTGAACATTGACCGGCAGCTGGTTCTGGGTACATTGTATCAGAGCCAATTTAAGAAATATTAGTTAAACTACCCCTCCATGATTCCGTTTGGTATCTGGTGGTGCTGGCTCCTTCTAGTTTCACATCTACTGTGCCTGGAACCATGGACATGAGGACAATCCTCAATGCATCTAAAGAGTTTCTGAAAATAGATGTGATCTTTGTATGCACAAAACATTAAACTTCACACTGAAGCCTGAAAAAAAAAAAGTTTGGTAAGAAATTAGGTAAAGTGTGCTACAGACAACCTATATCTAGTTCATAGTGTTGGTACCCGGTCATCTGTTTGATGAACTCACCCAAGATAGCCTGAGGACAGTGCCAGCCACCTAGGTCTGAGCATTAGCTTAGGAAGGAGGGGTCTGGGGCCATGGCAATGCAGTAGGTCACAATTCAATGCTTATGAGAACAAAGAATTAGAGTTAGAGCTTGGACAAGAACAGAAGGGTTACAGGAACTACAATTAGGAGAATATGTCTGGAGCCCGCTAAAAAGATAAAAGGAGAAATATGAAAAAAAAAAAGTTTAAAAATCTATTCTTAGGACTGGCGTTGTGGCACAGCGAGTTAAGCTTCTGCTTGTGACACCAGAATACTACATGAGTGCCAGTTCCAGTCCCAGCTGCTCCACTTCTGATGCAGCTCCCAGCTAGGGAAAGCAGCAGAGGTTGACCCAAGTACTTGGGTCTTTGCTACCCATATGGGAGACCCAGATGCACTTCCAGGCTCCTAGCTTCAGCCTAACTCATACCAGACTGTTGCAGCCACTCAGGGAGTACATCAGAGGATGGAAGCTAGCTCGCTCGTGCTGCCTCTCTGTAACTCTGCCTTTCAAGTAAATAAATTTTTTAAATCTATTCATAATTTTTCTAAAAATATGCTGAGTCTATAATTTAGGATGGTAGGTTCTTCTATAAGGTACTTTCCAGAGCCCAGTTGTATTTGGAATGGAGGAGGATTGGAACTGTACTTAGTTGGGTATGATTCAGCATGGAGATTTGGCTTTGTTTCTGGAAGAGCAAATCGAGGTTGTGTGAAGAGAGGGAATGGCCTAGGCCTTAGTTTCTTAGCTTTGTTATGTAAAGTACCAATGTTTCCTGTAGCAGATGGAATCACTGAGAGCCATGCAAATATTTTCTTTTCCTGCCTCAGACTCAGCATAGGCAAACTGAATGATGAAATGGGTGAGAGAAAGGTCTGCATTGCCCCACAAGGCAGACTTCCTACACTGTGGAAATGTTGCTATTTAGAGATTCACTTGGATTAACCAATTTTAAGCCACTTGTTTTTTGTTTTTTGTTGTTTTTTGTTTTTAAGTGTCATTTTATTTGAAAGTCAGAGAGGAGGCCAGCGCTGTGGTGCAGTGGGTTAAGGCCATGGCCTGAAGTGCCAGCATCCCATATGGGCGCCGGTTCTAGTCCCGGCTGCTCCTCTTCCAATCCAGCTCTCTGCTATGGCCTGGGAAAGCAGTAGAATATGGCTCAAGTCCTTGGGCCCCTGCACCCATGTGGGAGACCAGAAGGAAGCTCCTGACTCCTGGCTTTGGATCGGTGCAGCTCCGGCCGTTGTGGCCAATTGGGGAGTGAACCAGCAATGGAAGACCTCTCTATCTGTCTCTACCTCTCTCTGTAACTCTGTATTTCAAATAAATAAAATAAATCTTTAAAAAAAGAAAGAAAGAAAGAAAGAAAGAAAAAGAGAGAGAGAGAGAGAGAGATCTTCCATCTGTTCACTCCACAAATACCTGCCACAGCCTGGGATGGGCCAGGCTGAAGCCCAGAGCTCAATCCGGTGTCCCACATGAATGGTAGTGACCCAATGCTTGAGTTATCATTTCCTGCCTTTCAGGGTACACATTTGCAGGAAGCTGGATCAGAAGCAGAGGAGCCAAGACTCAAACCAAGAACTCTGATGCGGGATCCAGGCATCCCAAATGGTGTCTTAGTTCCTGTGCCAGAAACCTGCCTCACCACTTGCTCTTAGCCTGAGGCTCTTTTCCAGACAACTGATTGAGATTTGCACAAAGGAAATGAGATTTGTTAAAATATTTATTTATTACATATTCGAAAGGCAGACTTAGAGCGAGAAAAAGAGAGAGATCTTCCATCTGCTAGTTCACTCCCCAAATGGCTACAACGGCCAGGGCTGGGCCAGATTGAAGCCAGGGGCCTGGAACTTCATCCATGTCTCCCACATGGGTGGCAGGGGTTCAAGTACTTGGGCCATTTTCCAGTTTTTCCCAGGCACATTAGCAGGGAGCTGGATCAGAAGTGAAGCAGCTGGGACTGGAGCTGGTGTCACGAGTGGCAGCCTAACTTGCCATGCTACAGTGTCAGCCTCAGGAAACGAGAGTTCTTATATCAGAGAGAAGGGAGAGGCGATTTTGGAATTTGGGACTCAACTATGAGTCAAGAGAGGTAGAAAGGTTTTGAGGGCTGTTGCCAGCAAGAATGCTGGGGAGTTAGGACATGAAATGCGAAAGGTGGGCAAGTGCTTTCTTCAACACATATTTGCCTTCATTTTGACCATACTGTCCCTATTGCCAGAAGTCTGTCGAGTTCTAATCCTCCTAATCCCATCTAGACTGGAATGGTGAGTAAGGCAGGTAGGAAGATGGTCAGCCAGTTTTAGCATTGTCCTAAAGATGGAGCTTCTCTTTCTGGAACTCATTGTTCCCTACTACCCTGAACTCCAGGAATAGTTTGCTTCACTTCGCTCCTATCTCAGCTTCTATTGTCTGGGCCCATTTTGGAAACCACTTGCATCATTTCCACTTTTCTATCAATGAATTAACTTTGAGGTAATGTAAAAGAGTCTTAGGCATGCTTGCTACAATGAGTTGAACACTGCAAACATAGATTTACTTCAAGGAGGACTATGCTACTGGGAATAGGAAAAGAAAAGGCTATGGGGCTAGTGGTTAAGATGCCTGAATCTCATTTCAAGAGAGCCTGAGCTGGATAACTGTCTGCACTCTTGACTCCAGCTTCCTGAACCCTGGGAGGCAGCGCTGGTGGCTCAAGTAGTTGGGTTCTTGCCACCCATGCAAGAGACCTGGATAGAGTTCCTGGTTCCCAGCTTTATTCTCTGGCCCAGAGTCATTATAAGCAACTGAGAAGTGAACAGTGGAGGGAAGCACTCTCTCAAATAAGAGGAAGGGGTGGGGGGGAGCAAATGAAAATAAACTCTTGTACTCTAGTTCTTCTAGAAAGCCCTTTTCAACATACATTTTCCTTGTTACAACAGAGAAGGAAGGGCACAGTGTTTACTCATGAATATTTCTGAATCCATACCCTCCCTGTCTAGGTGTTTCTACAGCTCCAGGTAGAGAATAACTTTGCAATGGTTGTCCGTACAAAAGCAGCTGGCCGGACCAGCATCAAAGTCACTGTCCGCTGCATGAACAGTTCCTCTGGGCAGTTGGAGGGAAATTCGTTGGAATTGTCTGATGAAGTTCAGATCCTGGTAAGCTCCTAAACCTAGATCTTGATTTTATATATCAAGGAGAAGAAAATCTTACCATCTATGAAGAGCTTAGTCTAAAAAGAAAGGGAGAAACTACTAGAGAGACTCTTGGAACGGGTTTGTAGTTCCTAGGCCTGTGTTATTTCTGCTAATCGCTTCAGTATAGTATTGACATTAGAAACCTTAGCACATGTTCTTCCTTCAACTCCCCACACTATGAACACAAGCTGTGAACCTATAATACCTAGAGAGGGTTTAATTTCTGAGCTGTGGCATCTAATGTAGATGCTATGACTTGCCCATTTAGATATATTCACAGGTAGAATGAACTACAGCCCTAATTTGTGGTAAAGTGGAAGAGTATGAACAGTTTCTTCAGATGTTCTCAAGCAAAAACCTAAATGGCTGTATTGTTTTTAGAATTCAAGATGAGTCACCATTGTATGGGGCAAGTAAGTTTCTCTGTTTCCTAATTTGGAGCTGATTCTTGCCCGCTCTATTTTGGCTTTTTGGTTCTCTGTCTCAGTGTGATGTAGAGGAGGTAGTAGTCCCTTACTAATTCAACATTATAGGTTCTCTGTTCCAAAGTCTTTCAATTATCAGAGCTAAAAGCACACTTTTCAAAGCTATTTTATAATTCATATCTAAGTGATATAGAAGATGCGGTGAGTAAAAACTGTGACCATTCCTAGTCCCTCTTAGACAGAAGCAGGACTCATCAGGTTGTCTATTCTAGAATACCTAGATCTAAGTGCCTGGCTCATTCTGAAAAGGAGTATTGTGGAAGATCTTAGACTAAGTAGAAGTTAGGCAGACTGTTAATTTGTGATTATCCTGTGTGATTTTACTGAAGTCCACATGGAGTAAAGGCCATAATTTGTCTTTCTAAATGAGGAAAATATTATTTTCTCGCTATAGGTGTTTGAAAAACTCCAACTTTTCTATCCGGAGTGCCAACCCGAGCAGATTCTGATGCCTATGAACTCTCAGCTTAAACTCTACACCAACAGGTAGGGAAGGGAAAGGAGAGACCAGGTTATAACTTCAAGTATCTTCAGTAAAACATTGCACACGGAAACAACTACATTTGCCTTCTAGGAGATTTTTCTATTCCCTGACTACTTTGTTTTTAGTTAAGGTGACATTTACATTATATAAAACTAACCATTTAAAGTATAAAACTCAGTGGCATTACACACACACAGAAGTGTACAATCATCACCTCTACCCAGTTGCAAAATGTTTTCAGCACCACCTAAGCAGACCCCATTCCCTTAAGCGGTCACTCCCCACTCTCCTTCCCCCCACCCCTGACAACCAACAATCTGCCTTCTGTCTCTGTGGATACTCTGGATATTTCATGTAAATGGAATCATGCAATACAAGACTTCTTATGTTGGTTCCCTTCAGTTAGCGTGTGTTTGAAGTCCATCCTCAGTGTATCATGTATCAGTACTTCATTCTTTTTTGTGACTGAATGATCACTCCGTTTTATGGATCAATCACATCTTGTTCATGCAGTCATCCACTGATGGACATTTGGGTTGTTTTCACCTTTTGACTGTTGTGAATAGTGCTGCTATGAACGCTCATGTACAAGTATTTGTTTGCATGCCTTTTTTCAATTGTTTTGGCTGAATAATTTTTTACTGATAAATGTGTCCTAGCCTTTGATTTTAAAGATATAAGAATAATATAAAATGAGACTTTTATCAGAAGCACACAATGTGGAGAATGGCAAGCAGCCATGAACAGCCTCTCTCGGCAGGGCCCCCGTTTGTTCCCTAGGGAAGGAGCTGCCTTTGTGAGTTCTCGTGTTCTCAGATGTTTCCCTAATTCATCCGTCATTGAGGAGGACGGTGAAGGACTCCTGAAAGCTGGATCCATTGCAGGGACTGCCGTCTTGGAAGTCACTTCCATAGAACCTTTTGGAGTAAACCAAACAACTATAACTGGGGTTCAGGTGAGTTCAGGAACTTCTGCAAGGCAATAATAAGAATACAATGGCCTGAAGAGGCAGCTTTGTGGGACAGGTGTTACGGCCCAGCCACCAGCATCCCATATCAGAGTGCCTGGGACTAATTCCCACCTCTGCTTCCAATCCAGCTTCCTGCTAACTTGCACCCTAGGAGGCAGTAGATAATGTCTCAAACCCCTGACAACCACATGGGAGACCTGGATGGAGTTCCTGGCTCCTGGCTTTGGCCTGGCTCAGCCCTGGTTGTCACCATTATTTGAGGAGTGAAATAATAGATGAAGATCTCTTGTCACTTGACCTTTCAAATAAATAAAAATAAATAACTTTTAAAATGAAGCAAATCTCCTTTTTTCCTTTTTTGAGACTAGAAACTTCTCTGAATGTCAGACATGAAAGTGTAAGATAAGAGGCAAATCTTAGCATGATGATAAACCGCCAGATTAAAATGGACTTGAGAGCCCTTGTTATTTATAAAAGAAATTGGCCTCAAATCGGTACGGTTGTCTTAGTTGTTTTCTGAGCAGCTTTGGCAAAAGAGCTGCTGTGGGATAAATGTAGAACTACTGCCATCAAAATCAGACTTTGTTGTTAGAATTTAATTTTACTTTTTAAAGGTTTATTTATTTATCTGAAAGTCAGAGAGAGGGAAAGACAGAGAGATCTTCCATCTGCATGTTCACTCCCCAGCCAGGACTGGACCAAGCCAAAGCCAGGAGCCAGGAGCTTCTTCTGGTCTCCCATGTAGAGTGGCAGGGGCCCAAACACTTGGGCCATCTTCCGCTGCTTTTTCCAGGCCTTTAGCAAGGAGCTAGATCAGAAGTAGAGCAGCTGGGACAAGAACGGGAACCCATATTGAATGCCAGAACCGCGGGTGGCAGCTTTATCCCTTACACCACAATACCAGCCCCTAAACTTTAAAAACTCTAACAACAAGGGCTGGCACTGAGGTGTAGCAAGTAAAGCTGCTGCCTGCAATGCCAGCATCCCATATGGGCAGCTGTTTGTGTCCGTCCAGGCTGCTCCACTTCCAATCTAGCTCCTTGCTAATAGCCTAAAAAAGGGCAGTGGAAGATGGTCCTAGTGTTTAAGGCCCTGCCATCCAAGTGGGAGACCCGGAAGAAGCTCCTGGCTCCTGGCTTTGGCCTGGCCCAGCCCTGTCTGTTGAGGCCATTTGGGGAGTGAACCAGCAGATGGAAGTTCTCTCTCTCCCTCTGGGTCTCCTTCTCTCTCTGTAACTCTGTCTTTCAAATAAATAAATAAATCTTAAAAAAAATTTTTTTTTTAAAGTTTAGAATTAGAAGAGAGCTCAGAGGTAAGCCAGTATAATACACACAAAAAAATTAGGCATTGGGGTCAGGCTGCGGGTCTCTCCTTGGAGCGGCGCGAGAGCGGAGCGAAAGCTGCAGCGCTGGGGCCATGGCAGGACAGGCATTTAGGAAGTTTCTTCCGCTCTTTGACCGGGTCTTGGTGGAGAGGAGCGCTGCAGAAACAGTAACCAAAGGAGGCATTATGCTCCCTGAAAAATCTCAAGGAAAAGTATTGCAAGCAATGGTAGTAGCTGTTGGATCAGGCTCTAAAGGAAAGGGTGGAGAGATTCAACCAGTTAGTGTGAAAGTTGGAGATAAAGTTCTTCTTCCAGAATATGGAGGCACTAAAGTAGTTCTAGACGACAAGGATTATTTTCTATTTAGAGATGGTGACATTCTTGGAAAATATGTAGATTGAAATCTCTGAAACAGCATCACATGAAGCTTCCCATTCCATTGAAGTTCTGAAATCTTTTCATCATGTAAATAATTTCCATGTCTCTTTTATAATAAACTAATGCTATCTAAAACAAACAAAAAAAATTAGGCATTTACCATCTACCATGTTCCAGCCACTGTGATGGTTCTGCTGTGCCACAAAATCCTCTGAGCTAGAACTGTTAACTCCACTTAACTACTAAGAAATCCGAATCCCAGGATAGGTGTGGGAGGCGATGAAATAATGAAGTTATATGATTCAAATCCGGACTTCTCTTATTGTAGTGCAATTATTTCCTACAGAATGAAACACAACCCACGGTATTTTTCATAAGTAATCAATTATTTATCAATAAATACTGAGCACCTTGCTCAATTCACCTATTTTCAGTCCTTTCCTCAAAACCTCCAACTTCTCTTCATGTAGCTTTAATAATTAAATAACCACTTCCTGTGCTATCATAATTCTTTTCACTCCGATTTAAATCACCTCAAATCAAATCTGTTTCTATTGTTAATTACAGATCTCAGAATATGGTAGCAGCTCTCCTCTAGTGCATCCTTCTCTGTCTTGTCTCCCACAGGTAGCGCCTGTGACTTACCTGCGAATGAGCAGTCAACCCAAGCTGTACACAGCTCAAGGAAGGACCCTATCCGCCTTTCCACTGGGCATGTCCCTCACTTTTGTTGTTCAGTTTTATAATAGCATCGGAGAGAAATTCCACACACACAATACTCAGCTTTACTTGGCTCTGAACAGGTATGGAAGTCAAAGGAATTATGTTGGTACTGTGGGAATGTTATGTAGCAGCCTCAGCAGGTTCTTCTGACATGCTGAACTTGGAACCTGATCTTTATGTCTTCTGTTAAGATTTTTAAAAAAGATCAGAGTCAGTTAAAGAATGGTATTAGTTAAAAAAAAAAAAAAAGAATGATATTAGTTATCAATAAAGAAAAATTTCAGGATGTTTGGAATCTGTCAAGTCCTAATTCACAGAAAGACCCATAAAGAGTTCATTGGAGTGTTATTATCCAAAAGCTTTACTGGACAAAAAATAACAAGAAATCCTTGTAGTGAAAACTCACTGCCATTGTTCTCATGAGAACTGAGGGGATGCCGAACCAGGCACCCTGCACAGAAAGGTGGTAGGATGGTCCTTACTGTGCACAGGAAGGTGGTAGGATGGTCCTTACTGTGCATAGAAGGTGGTAGGATGGTCCTTACTGTGCACAGGAAGGTGGTAGGATGGTCCTTACTGTGCACAGGGAGGTGGTAGGATGGTCCTTACTGTGCACAGGAAGGGGTAGGATGGTCCTTACTGTGCACAGGAAGGTGGTAGGATGGTCCTTACTGTGCACAGGAAGGTGGTAGGATGGTCCTTACTGTGCACAGGAAGGTGGTAGGATGGTCCTTACTGTGTACAGGGAGGTGGTAGGATGGTCCTTACTGTGCACAGGAAGGGGTAGGATGGTCCTTACTGTGCATAGGAAGATGGTAGGATGGTCCTTACTGTGCATAGAAGGTGATAGGATGGTCCTTGTTTGGTCTGTGGCCGCCTATTCTCCTGTAGAATTCCTTCTGAGCTTTTGAGATGCTTGACCATAAAATGTTGCAATAAGGTCCACCCCAGAACTGCTGATGGACTGCTGACTCTTCAGATATTTCTCTCTCTCCTGTCTATTTTTAGAGATGACTTGTTGCTTATTGGACCAGGAAACAGGAACTACACTTACATGGCTCAGGCTGTGAACAGAGGGGTGACAATTGTGGGGCTCTGGGACCGGAGACATCCAGGCATGGCAGATTATATTCCTGTTGCTGTAGAGCACGCCATTGAGCCAGACACCAAGCTTACCTTCGTTGGAGATGTCATTTGCTTTAGTACTCACCTGGTCAACCAGCATGGTCTGTATACATTTCCTTCTCTACTTCACAGCTGACAGTTAATTCAGGGTATGAAATAGTGAATCCCATAGAGGAATTTTCCCCAAATATATGTTATCTGAGGAAGAAAATAGTTTGGAGTATTTCACTATTTGTCATGTTAACTGATAATTCTGTTTAATGCACATTTCTTTCAATAGCTAGCCTGGTAGAAGTCAGCCAGTAGTGCTTAACAAGTACATATTGAATACAAAGCTCTACATTGTATTGTGTAGATGCTGCAGGATACTGTGTCTTTACCAACCTTCCGCTTCTTAAGAAGGACACTTGCTAAGGTGAAAAACAATAAAGAACGAAACAAAAGGAATGAAAGGGCAGCAAGGCTCTAATTCTCAAAGTCAATGTGTGTGTACTCTTTTGTGAGGCACATTTTAGGGCCTAACTTAAAATACCTTCACTGTAATACAATTTGGCCTTGTGTTGGACTAAACTGTACTCTTTTTTTATATTTATTTATTTGAAAGAGTTACACGGAGACATAAGCGGAGGCAGAGAGAGAGAGAGAGGTCTTCCATATGCTGGCTCACTCCCCAATTGGCCACAACAGCCGGAGCTGTGCCAATATGAAGCCAGGAGCCAGGAGCCTCCCCTGGGTCTCCACGCAGGTGCAGGGGCCCAAGGACTTGGGCCATCTTCCACTGCTTTGTCAGGCCACAGCAGAGAGCTGGATCAGAAGTGGAGCAGCCAGGTCCCGAACCAGCACCCACATGGGATGCCGGTACTGCGGGCAATGGCTCAACCCACTACACCACAGCACCGGCCCCTAAACTGTACTCTTGATCAGCAAAGCATTTCTGTCCTAAGAAATTCTATTCAGTTAAATAAAATAACGGAAAATCAGTCCTCAAGTAGGAAACATCTGAATTATTTGGGCTTATACATAGCATATAATCCCAACATGACTTATACTGCCTGAAAGTATATATCCAAATAACTCATTTGAGCAAGAATTGCCTGGTAGTGCCTTGCAACTTCTTCTGTGAACTATGGATATGTATGTTCAGACAAAGTGATGTAACACTGGACCTGATTTTAACACTAGCTACATATTTTGGACTTGATACCAAGGGAACTTTATTGAGCCTAGGTCAAATCCTGCTGTCCTATAACAAGTGGTTTGCATGCAGTCACTACTAACATGCCATCTATGACCAGTGAGCTAAACCTGCTGTGAAGTTAACATTGAGAGTTATCATCCCATGAGTATAAACACCTTGTGAATGAAGCAGAGGCTTTTTTCACTCTCCTTAGCTAGGTTTTGCCAGGAGTGTCACTTGGCCTCCCATTCTGGAATTTTGAGGGGCATCCCAAATCCATATCATTTTGGATAAAAAAGTAAAAGGGCCACAAGCCAGGCTCAGTAATCCTGTAGGTTAGTCATCTAAGCTAATTTCTGGAATGCCTCTGCCACCTTCAAATTTAAACCAAAATAAACAATCCTCCTGCCAGTTGTGGCTTCCCTACAGTCTCTCTGCTGGCATCAACCAGTAGCAGAAAACAGGTTCATCCTCAGTGCGGTCTACACAAAGTTCTATCAGAGTTCTTTCTCCTGAGAACAGTTACATTTTCCAACTAAGTAACCCTGAAGGTCAGTAGGTCTTCTTTTATTTTGCTGGTGAGATATAAGAAGGGAAAACTGACATTCTGAGAACAGTTATCGACAAGGCTGGGTGTTTCTCCTGGGAGAGACGGCTGCATGTTTGAGTGGTCTGTGAGAAGGAATCTGAGTAAGATTAGAGTGATTCATATCCAAGTTCACAGCCATGTCTTTCTCCTGTCTCTTCCTAGGGGAACCTGGCGTGTGGATGATTTCTGCTGGAAATATTCTGCAGACAGACATTGTCACTGGAGTGGGAGTGGCCAGGAGCCCAGGAACTGCAACAATTTTTCATGATATCCCCGGAGTGGTGAAAACATACAGAGAGGTAAAACCCACCACGCCAGGACTGAAGAACCAAAAGGAACTATTTCCATGTCTGGGGATACGCATACAGGCACTGGATCCTAGGGGTGGGCATTATCGCACAGCAAGCTTAGCCACCACTTCTGATGCCTGCAGCCATATTGGAATCCTATCTCTGTTTCCAATCCAGCTTTCAGTTAATGTACATAGGAGGCAGCAGAAAATGACCCAAATACTTGGGCTCCTGCCACCCACCTGGGAGACAGCATGGAGTTCCTCCTGGCTCCTGGCTGTTTAAAAGGTATTTGGGGGCCGGCGCCATGGCTCACTAGGCTAATCCTCTGCCTTACAGCGCCGGCACACCGGGTTCTAGTCCCGGTCGGGGCGCCGGATTCTGTCCCGGTTGCCCCTCTTCCAGGCCAGCTCTCTGCTGTGGCCAGGGAGTGCAGTGGAGGATGGCCCAATCCCTTGGGCCCTGTACCCCATGGGAGACCAGGAGAAGTACCTGGCTCCTGTCACTGGATCAGCGCGGTGCGCCAGCCGCAGTGCACCGGCCGTGGCGGCCATTGGAGGGTGAACCAAAGGCAAAGGAAGACCTTTCTCTCTGTCTCTCTCTCTCACTGTCCACTCTGCTTGTCAAAAAAAAAAAAAAAAAAGGTATCTGGGGAGTGAACCAGCAGATGGAAGATCTGTGTGTTGGGCCTGCTTCTCTGTCATTTTGTGTTTCAAATAAATAAATCTAAGGAACAAAAAAAAAAAAAAGAAAGAAAGAAAGAAGAAACAACCTAGGAAAGGAAATACACTCACATAACAGATGTTAAGCCAGCCAGCAAACTTAATTAGAACTTAAAATTAAATATAAGCTAAAAAAAAAAGATTTATTTATTTGAAAGGGAAAGAGAGATCGATCGATCTTCCATCTCCTGGTTCACTCCCTAAATGGCTGCAACAGCCAGGACTGGGCCAGGCTAAAGCCAGTCAGAATCTCCAACAGGTCTCCCACATGGGTGGCAGGGGTCCACGCACTTGAATCATCATCCACTGCCTTCCCAGGAGCATTGGCAAGAAGCTGGTTTGAGGGTGAGAGCTGTGGTGTAGCCTGAGGCACCAGCAGACCATATGGGCTCTGGTTCAAGTCCCAGCTGCTCTACTTCCAATCTAGTTCCCTGCTAATGCGTGTGGGAAAGCAGAGGAAGATGCTTGAGCTAATACCACTCATGTGGGAGACCTGGAAGAAGCTCCTGGCTTCTGGCCTTGGACCTGCCCATCTCCAACTGTTGTAGCCATTCAGTGAGTAAATCAGTGGATGGAAGACTTCTCTCTGTATCTCCCTCTCTCTCTCTGTAACTGCCTTCCAAATAAATAAGTAAATCTTAAAAAAAAAAAAAAAAAATGGTTTGGAAATAGAGCAGCCAGGACTCAAATTAGCACTCCAATATGGGCTGCCAGCATTGCGAGCGGCAGCTTAAACCTCTGCACCACAACACCAGCACCAGTGCTTAGGATTCTTATCCAGAGAATGACTAATCAGATGTAAGTTTTAAGAGACCACCGTGACTACCAGTTGGTAAGAGAATTAGAGGGGCCAGCGCTGTAGCATAGTGGGTTAATGCCCTGGCCTGAAGCGCCAGCATCCCATATGGGCACTGGGTTCTAGTCCCAGTTGCTCCTCTTCCAGTCCAGCTCTGTGCTATGGCCTGGAAAATCAGTAGAAGATGGCCCAAGCCCTTGGGCCCCTGCACCCGCATGGGAGACCTGGAAGAAGCTCCTGGCTCCTGGCTTCGGATCAGCAAAGCTCCGGCTGTTGCGGTCAGTTGGGGAGTGAACCATCAGATGGAAGATCTCTCTCTCTCTCTCTCTCTCTCTCTCTGCCTCTCCTCTCTCTCTGTGCAACTCTGACTTTCAAGTAAATAAATAAATCTTTTTTTTTTTTTTTAAAAAGAGAATTAGAGGCAAAGATAGAAGCTGAAAAACCATTTGGGGAGTCTACAAAATTAATACGATGAAATATGATGGCAGATCCAAATGGTAACAAAGAAAGTGGTGAGAAGTTGATCAGATTCTAGGTATTTTATAGGTAGAGCTAATAGAATTTCCTGACATTATATGTAACAGATAAGAGATTCAAGAATGTTTTGGGTTTTTGATCAAACGATTAAAATATAATGTTATCATCTAAAGTGAAAGACTGTGCATTGAGGGCCAAGCAGTAGGCCTAGAAGCTGAGGTGTTTGTAATCCTGCATCATGTACTGGAGTGTCTGGGTTCAAGTCCCTGCTCTGGTGCCCAGTTCTACCTTCCTATGACACAGACCCCAGAAGGCACAATGATGGCTCAAGTAGTTGAGTCCCACCCACATGGGAGACCTAGATTGAGTTCCAGGCTCCCACCTTTGGCTGTTGGGGGCATTTGGAGAGTAAACCAGCGCTCGCTCGCTCGCTCGCTCTCTTCTCTCTGTCCCTGACTCTCCCACTATGTCTCTAAAAAACAAAAACAAAGACTAGATGGAACAGTTTTGGAGAAGGGAGGATCAGTCAGTTTGGGTTATATAAAATAGGATGTGGGCAGAAATCCTCTTAGAATACGGAAGAGAGCTGTGTATTCTGCCTCAGTGTTAATGCTGGATTTTCCAGAGGTGACAGATATGTAAACTGAGTCCCGAGGATTAGGAATCCACTATTCAGAAAAAAGGGGAGAAGACAGAGTAAATAAGATGTGCAAAGGCAAATAGAAGTACATGTCGCAGGGCCAGCATTGTAGTATAGCAGGTAGAGCCACCACCTGACTCTGACATCCATATTGGCGGTGGTTCATGTCCTGGCTGCTCCATTTCTGATCCAGCTCCCTGCTAATGGCCTGGAAAAAGCAGCAGAAGATGGCTGAGTACTTGAGCCCCTGCACCCATGTGAAAGACCGGGATAAAGCTCCTGGCTCCTGGCTTGTGCCTGGCACAGTCCTGGCTGTTGCAGCCATCTGGGGAGTGAACCAGCAGCATCTCTCCTTTTTTTTTTTTTTTTTTTTTTTTTTTTTGACAAGCAGAGTGGACAGTGAGAGAGAGAGACAGAGAGAAAGGTCTTCCTTTTTCCGTTGGTTCACCCTCCAATGGACGCCGCAGCCGGCGTGCTGCAGCCGGCGCACCACCCTGATCCGATGGCAGGAGCCAGGTACTTATCCTGGTCTCTCGTGGGGTGCAGGGCCCAAGGACTTGGGCCATCCTCCACTGTACTCCCTGGCCACAGCAGAGAGCTGGCCTGGAAGAGGGGCAACTGGGACAGAATTCGGCACCCCGACTGGGACTAGAACCCAGTGTGCCGGCGCTGTAAGGCAGAGGATTAGCCTATTGAGCCGCGGCGCCGGCCTTTTTTTTTTTTTTTAAGATTTTTTTTTATTATTATTATTCGAAAGTCAGAGTTATACAGAGAGAAGAGAAGAGAGGCAGAGAGAGAGGTCTTTCATCCGATGGTTCACTCCCCAGTTGGCCACAACGGCCGGAGCTGCGCTGATCCGCAGCCAGGAGCCAGGAGCCGGGAGCTTCTTCCAGGTCTCCCACGTGGGTGCAGGGGCCCAAGGACTTGGGCCATATTCTACTGCTTTCCCAGTCCACAGCAGAGAGCTGGATCAGAAGAGGAGCAGCTGGAACTAGAACCAGCACCCATATGGGATGCTGGCGCTTCAGGCCAAGGCGTTAGCCCACTGCGCCACAGCGCCAGCCCCTCTCCTCTCTGTCTTAACTCTTTCAAATAAATGAATAAATCTTAAAAAAAAAAAAATACATGTTGCATTTGAAGAAGAATGAATACATCAGGGTGGCCTCTACATAGGTTTATAGGGGTAGAGAGGGAACAATTGGGTGACATTCAGAGACCCTGTATCCTAAGCAGAGAAGTAGGAAGAGACTGAGAAGGGGCTAGGGACTAGAAAGGCAAGGACAGAGTGTCACAGAAGAGAGGGAATGGCTGCTACAGAGAAGCCAAAGGTCGCTTATATTCTAGTTTGTGTACTTTGTAAAATCCTTATTTATTCACTCATAAATTAGCAGACATTCACTGAAGCCTGTTAGGTGTTAGGTGTCAGGCATTGTGCTGGCCTCTGGAAGTACAAAGATGAAATGGACAACACTCATTCCTTCAATGAGCTCTTTTTCTGAAAATTTTATTTATTTATTTGAAAGGCAGAGTTACAGACACAGAGAGGGTTAAGACAGAACTTCCATCCACTGGTTCACTCCCCAAATGGTCACAACGGCCAGGGAGCTGGGCCAGGGAGCTTCTTCCAGGTCTCCCATGTGGGTGCAGGGGCCCAAGGGCTTGGGCCATATTCTACTGCTCTCCCAGGCCACAGCAGAGAGCTAGATCACAAGGAGAAAAGCTTGGACTCAAACCAGTGCCCAGGAGGCTTAGCCTACTATGCCAAGGCGCCGGCCCCCTTCACTGAGCTCTTAATGTAACTAATTTGGATTTTAGGGTTCTTGAGTATAAACAACAACCACCCTCTGGTAGTAATATGGAAAATGGATAGTATGTTACATTTAAATTGGAGATATTTGAGAAACAATCATGAAATACTTGCTTTATATACAAAGCATTGTACAGGTTGTATAAAGATGAATTAGAATCTTAGAATCTAATAAGTATAAAAACCTGTGGGGAGGGGCTGGGGCTGTGGCATACGAGGTAAAGCTGCTGCTTGCAGTACCAGCATCCCATATGGGCACTGGTTCAAGTTCTGGCTTCTCCACTTCTAATCCAGCTCTCTGCTATAGCCAAGTGCTTGGGCCCCTGCACTCATGTGGGAGACCCGGAGGAGGCTCTTGGCTCCTGGCTTCAGATCAACACAGATCCAACCATTGCAGTCAATTGGGGAGTGAACCAGCAGATGGAAGACCTCCCTCTCTCTCTCTGCTTCTCCTTCTCTGTGTAACTCTTTCAAATAAATAAATGCATCTTTAAAAAAAAAAAACCTGTGGGAAGCCTTTGGCCTAGTGTCAAGATGCCCACATTTGGGGCTCATGTTATGGTACAGTGGATTAAGCCACTGCTTGTGATGCCAGCATCCATGTCTGAGCACTGTGGTTGAGTCCCAGCTGCTCCACTTTACAGTTCAGCTTCCTGAAAATGCACCTGGAAAGGCAGCAGGAGGGCTTGGGCCCTTGACACTTACATGAGAGAACTGGATGGAGTTCCAGGCTCCTGGCTTCAACCTGGCCCAGCCATAGCTATTAAGGGCATTTAGGAAGTGAATCAGTGGATAATGGAGGATCTCTCTATCTCTCATTCTGCCTTTCAAATAAATGAGTAAATCTTTTTTTTTAGATTGTATTTTTTTTAATTGAAAGTCAGAGTTACACAGAGAGAATGAGAGACAGAGAGAGTCTTCCATCCGCAGGTTAACTCCCCAGTTGGCTGTAACGGCCTGAGCTGCACTGATCTGAAGTCAGGAGCCAGGAGCTTCTTCTGGGTCTCCCACGTGGGTGCAGGGGCCCAAGGACTTGGGGCATCTTCTACCGCTTTCTCAGGCCATAGCAGAGAGCTGGACAAGAAGAGCAGCCGGGACTAGAACCAGCGCCCCTATGGGATGCCAGCACTGCAGGCGGTGGCTTAACTCGCTATGCCACAGCACCAGCCCCGAATGAGTAAATCTTAAAAAGAAAAAAAAAAATGCCTGTGGTCTCTCGATTTGAGTGCTGGTTAGTCAATGACAGGTAAGATCCCCTGGGGGACAACCTAAGACAGGCACAGCTGCGTATGGAGACCACATGGAAACAGGAATGTGGTGGAATAAGGCCATGCCAAGATGGCCACTGGCAAGCGAGTGTCAGTTACTCAGGAATGGCTTCGAAGCCCACCTGGCAACGGAGCCTGCCTGGCAACAGGATGTGATTGGGTGGCTTTGGAAAATGCCTGGCAACAGGCTGTGATTGGTTGGGCATAGACTGCCCCTTGACTGGATTGGCTGGTCTTGACTGTATAAGCTGTTGTACTAACTGAAATAAACGAGTCTGTGGGCTGCTTGCCTCAAGCTGGCTTTCACCGGACTCCTGGGGTCTGTGTGGTGACTCCGCACCTCTTGCCCCCACCACGCTCCTCCTCTCAGAAATGAAACCACTGCAACATTGTTGAGAAATCAACCGCAACAAATGCCCACATTCCATATCGGAATAACCTGGGTTTGAGTCTTACTTTGTTTCCTGAATGTAGCTCCCTGGAAGGCAGCAGGTGATAGCTCAAGTAGTTGGGTCCCACCCACCCAAATAAGAGGCCTGGACTGGGTTCTCAGTTGCTGGCTTCCACCTCGTCTAGTTCTAACTGTTGCAGGCATTTGGGGCATGAACCAGCAGATGGGAAAGCACTCTGCCTCTCAAACAGATGTTTAAAAAAAAATATTTGCAATATAAGACAGTATTGCAAATACATTGAGAGGAACAAGGTACTGTGAAGTTTCAGAAATGGATTAGATTATGTGCAACTGGAGGGACAAGGACAGTTGTAATTATTTTCAAGGCTGCATCAATAGGGATTCATACAAAAGGAAAATATGTCAAAAACAAGGGACAAAAGTTTACTTCCATAAAGCATGTTATTTTCTTCTCAAAAGTAAATCGACTTTGAGTTCTCAAATACGTGATCACTAGGACAGCCTATTTCTGTGAAACAGAAGCTTCCATGCAAGTAAGTGACGAGGGCGAGATGGAAGGAACCAGATTCTGTGCATACTGTAGTGCAGATTTTCCTCTGATTTGCTGACAGGTGGTGGTCAATGCATCATCAAGATTAACGCTCAGTTATGACCTCAAGACTTACCTCACCAACACCCCCAATTCAACTGTCTTCAAGCTGTTCATCACCACTGGCAGAAACGGTGTCAATCTTAAAGGTCAGGAATTCCTTCATAGGTCTGATTGTCCCCATCTCCCCTCAATTCATTTGCCACTTTAGATTAGTAATCCAAGTTTCCTTTTATTTCAAAACTGACTCTAAAAAAATGGACTATCTTCACAAATTAATCATAGAAATGCACGAGACCAGGGTCGGCACTGTGCTGTAGAGGTTAAGCCTCTGCCTGCAGTGCTGGCATCTCATAAGGGTGCTGGTTTGCATAGCAGCTGCTCGACTTCGATACAACTCCCTGCTAATGTGCACGGGAAAAACAGTGGAAGATGCCCCAAGTACTTGGGCCCTTGCACACATGTGGGAAACCCAGAAAAAGCTCCTGGCTCCTGGCTTTGGCCTGGCCCAGCCCCAGGCAGTGAACCAGTGGATGGAAGATTCTCATTCGCTTTTTCTCTCTCCTTCCGTCTTTGTATCTCAGCTTTTCAAATAAATAAATCTAAAAAAGTCTGTAAGATCTCAGAAATTCACTGAATTAGTAATAAGCTCAACTTAGTCACTACTGTCTTTCTAGTTTTAACATAGATTCTTGGGGCCAGCACCGTGGCATAGCGGATAAAGCCACCGCCTGCAGTGCAGGCATGTTCCAGCTGCTCCACTTCCGGTCCAGCTTATCATACAGTATTTCCTTTTAAAAGTGAAAAATGCAGCAAGTGTTGTAGACTGCAGGTTGAGCTCAGCTTGCAATGCCAGCATCCCATACCAGAGTTCACGTCCAGTTCACATCCCAGCAGCAGCTCAACTTCGTTTATAAGTCCCTGCTACCCATGTGAGAGACCCAGATGGGGTCCTGGCTCCTGGCCTGCTCAGCTGTTGTAGTCATCTGGGGAGTGAATCAGAAGATGTAGATCGAAATCTCTTTGTTGCTTTACCTTTCAAGTGAACAAACACTTTAAAAATTTCACCTGTTTTAAAATCTTGGTTGTTTATTTTTTTTTAGCCAACAGAACATCAAAACCAAGCAGGCAAACCTGTAACATCAACATAGAGTAACTTTTTTTTTTTTGACAGACAGAGTGGACAGTGAGAGAGACAGAGAGGAAGGTCTTCCTTTTGCCGTTGGTTCACCCTCCAATGGCCGCCTCGGCTGGCGCACCACACTGATCCGAAGGCAGGAGCCAGGTGCTTCTCCTGGTCTCCCATGGGGTGCAGGGCCCAAGCACTTGGGCCAACATAGATTAACTTTTTCCTTCAATTATTAGAATTAAAATATTTTAGGGGCTGGCGCTGTAGTGCAGTGGGTTAAATAAAGCCCCAGCCTGCAGCACCAGTATCCCATATGGGCGCCAGTTCATGTCCTGGCTGCTCCTCTTCTGATCCAACTCTCTTCTAAGGCCTGGGAAAGCAGTAGAGGATGGTCCAAGTCCTTGGGCCCCTGCACCTGCATAGGAGACCTAGAAGAAGCTCCTGGCTCCTGGCTCCAGATCAGCTCAGCTCTGGCTGTTGCGGTCATTTGGGGAGTGAACCAGGGGAATGGAAGACCTCTCTCTCTGGCTCTACCAGTCTCTGTAACTCTGTCTTTAAAATAAAGAAAATAAGCCGGCGCCGTGGCTCAATAGGCTAATCCTCCACCTTGCGGCGCCGGCACACCGGGTTCTAGTCCCGGTTGGGGCGCCGGATTCTGTCCCGGTTGCCCCTCTTCCAGGCCAGCTCTCTGCTATGGCCAGGGAGTGCAGTGGAGGATGGCCCAGGTGCTTGGGCCCTGCACCCCATGGGAGACCAGGAAAAGCACCTGGCTCCTGGCTCCTGCCAGGATCAGCGCGGTGCGCCAGCTGCAGCGGCGGCCATTGGAGGGTGAACCAACGGGCAAAGGAAGACCTTTCTCTCTCTGTCTCTCTCTCTCACTGTCCACTCTGCCTGTCAAAAAAAAAAAAAAAAAAAAAAAAAAATAAATATTTTTCCCCAGTATTTGGTGGGTCTTTCCATCCTCTTATCAAGATCTTTTGCAGAACTAAAGATTTTAATTTGGTAAAGTCCAATTAATGAGTTTTTTTCATTGAGGTTTATGTTCTTGACCTCATATTTTAAAATATTTTGCCTAGGCTTATGCCCAAAAGATTTTTTTAAAAAAAGGATTTACTTATTTGAGAGGCAGAGTTACAGAGAGGAGAGAGGTCTTCCATCCTCTGTTTCACTCCCCAAATGGCTGCAACAGCCGGAGCTGGGCTGATCTGAAGCCAAGAGCCAGAAACTTTTTCCGGGTCTCCAACGTGGAGGGCCCAAGCACTTGGGGCATCTTCCACTGCTTTCCCAGGCCGTTAGCTGAGAGCTGGATTGGAAGCGGAGCAGCCAGAACTCAAACTGGCACCTATATGGAGGGTTGCTGGCGCCACAGACAGAGGCTTAACCTACTATGCCACAGCACCGGCCCCTGAAAAATTTTTCTCCTGTTTTGTTCTAAAAGTTTTATAGCTTCACATTCAATTTGTAGTTCACTTTT